TCCCCATTCTCACTGGTGTGAGGTGGGACCTCATTGTGGTTTTGATGTGTGTTTCCCTGATGGCCAGTGATGCGGAGCATTTTCTCATGTGCTTGGTGGCCACGTCTAGGTGTTCTTTAGTGAAATATTTGTTCATGTCTTTTGCCCATTTCATGACTAGATTGTTTGTTTCTTTGCTGTTGAGTTTAGTAAGTTCTTTATCGATCTTGGATACTAGCCCTTTATCTGATGTGTCATTTGCAAATAGCTTCTCCCATTCTGTAGGTTGTCTTGTAGTTTTGTTGACTGTAACTCTTACCCCCACCTTTGTTAGTGCCTTACATCTGCAGTTAATTAGTTTATCCCTGTCCTTTTTCCCAAAATATTCTCCAGCTTCTGGTTGGGTGGAGTTTATCTTATAGCAGCTTATTTAGAAAGACTGTTATGAGTGATGTGCCCCAAATTTGTGCACATTCAAATTTGGTTGTATGAAGCCATTAGTTTATTTTTTTCTTTATTTTATTTTATTTTATTTTATTTTATTTTATTTTATTTTATTTTATTTTATTTTATTTATTTTAATTTTTTCATGAGAGACACAGAGAGAGAGAGAGAGCAAGAGAGAGAGCGCAGAGACACAGGAGGAGGGAGAAGCAGGCTCCATGCAGAGAGCCCAGGTCTCGATCCCTGGTCTCCAGTATCACGCCCTGGGCCAAAGGCAGGCACTAAACCACGGATTCTTTCCCTTCCAGGAGCCCTTCATTATCTTGAGTGTTCGCAGTGTCTGGCCTCTCATCTCTGGATCCCCGGGCCAGAAACACTGCATGTTTTTCAACACATGCCCCTGCCGCTGCGCACAGTAAGACTATGCTCAGCTTTAGGCTGCAGACGGTGGGAGTGGCAGTTACTTGCTCTCCCTCCTGCCCTTCCCTACTGCACTCCCCACCAGGGCATGTTGGCATGTTGTTTACTCCAGTACCCTCAGATGGTTGCTTTTGTGTTATATTTAGGCTTTCTGCAGAGGGTGGGAGAGATTGTCCAGTAGCATCTCTACCTATCATACTCAGGAGCACAGAGTGAATGCAGCCTTTATACTTGAGGACGGGCTGCCTGCATGTAAAATCCCTGGCTCACATTTTCTTTCCTGAATAACTTATAGGTTTGGTCCTTTCATCTTCTGGCATCGAATATAATTAACACTAACCCGTTCTCTTTCCCTTATAAATGAATTCTCTCTCTCTCTCTCTCTCTCTCTCTCTCTCTCTCTCTCTCTCCCTCTCTCTCTATCATAAATAAATAAATAAATCTAAAAAAAAGATACTGAAAAATACCGAAAATAGGGACGACTGGGTGGCTCAGCAGTTGAGCGTCTGTCTTCCACTTAGGGCGTGATTCCAGGCCCAGGAATTGAGTCCTGAGAGAGAGAGACAGAGAGGCAGAGACACTGGAGGAGGGAGAAGCAGGCTCCATGCTGGGAGCCTGAGGTGGGACTCGATTCCGGGACGCCAGGATCGCGCCCCGGGCCCAAGGTGGCGCTAAACCGCTGAGCACCCGGGCTGCCCTGACAGGCAGCTTCTTGACGTGGAGGCCCACACTGTCTTCAGGAAGAGTTTCACTCAAAGCCTGATGGTGAAATTGCATAGACTTGACTTCAGTCCTAACACTGGAGCAAAGGTCGCCGCCGTGCCAGTGTCCCCTCAGCTCCCAGGGACGGTGCTAAGACGCCAAGTTTTCATCATCCGGAGGGGCAGACACAGGCTTGTCCATTGGACAAGCTGGTGGTAGACGCAGTCCTGAGTTCCAGGCGCTGCGGTTCCACTGGCGTTGCCGTCCGTGTAGGCGGCTTCCCATCTCTCCACTGTAGGATGCTCGGCCGAACTCGGTTTGTAAACAGCAACAGTTCGCTGTTGCACACCCAGCGCTAAGCCAGAGGGGCTGCTCGGGTGGGCCCGTTCTTGGGGATACCCGCGGCCGCCGCATCACCAGCAGTAGCAGCAGGCAGGAGCCCGGTCAGCTCGGGCGGGCCTGGAATCGTGCTTTCGGCCAAGCGCGTCCAGGCGTCACAGGCAGATTCTCTTGCTGGTCTCCCGCGCGCAGGGGGAGGAGCCAGTGGTGGCTCCACACCCGGCTCAGCCTTCAGGTCGTCTGAGCCCGGCGCCGCCAGGAGCCCTTCCCGCCTCAGCAGGCCCCCAGCTCTTTCCACGGCTGGTTCGCTCGTCCAGGCCCCTCTCGTCGATCACACGACCGAGAGTCTGGCCTTGCCCAGAGCTGCGCGTGCAAAGCCAAGACTTCGGATCCGGAGGAGGCTCAGAGCAGCTTGGCCCCGGGAGGCACGCGGGGGAGGCAACGACTCTCTCAGGAGCCTTTTCTTTTCCCATTTTGCCTTTGATTTAAGGGTGGTTTTCAGGCCGCCGCGTTCAGGGGGAAGCCGTGGCACAAAAGTCCTCGACGTTCAGCAGCCATTTGTGGTGTCCGTGGGGCGAAGGTCGAGAGGCCTTTGCGGCCACCACGTTCTACTTTAACGACCCTATTCTATACCTAACGTTGATTCAGCTTATGGCTGGGGGCGCGGGGGGGGGGGGGGGACTAGTGAATTTCCCAGGCGCCTTGTTTACAGCGAAGTGTACGGCGGCCCCTCTGCGTCCCTCGGGCAAGCCCAGCGGCTGCGTGGAGGCGGCGGCCCCGGCCATCCCCCGAGAAGCCGGCGAGGAGCCCAGGGAGCGGCCGGGCAGTCCGGGTCGGTTTCACGCGGACGCTGAGTCGCTGTGCGTCACCATCCAGGACGCTGGCAGCTCTAGGGACTCAAGGCGGACTCCAGCGCTTTGCCCTTCCCGTGCCCATGGAGGCCTGGGCCTCGAGTGCCCGCCGCTGCCGCTGGGGATCGGCCACGTCACGGGTCACGCGGATTACACGCTTCCCCTGGAGCGAGTGTGGACCGAGAGGAGCGACGCCTGGGGGCTCAGCGCGGGGCCGGATGCGCTGCGGCGTGACCCCGGTCCGGGTCCTGTCCCCGGCGGGCTCCCCACAGGGCCCGCTTCGCCCTCTGCCCGGTCTGCGTCTCTCTCTGGGTCTCTGGTGAGTAAAAGAAATCTTTAAAAGAGAGGGAAAAAAAGACTAAATAAAAGGGAAGCTCGGTCAGACGGGAGCCCGCGGCCGGCAGGGGCCGCCCAGCTGCGGGGACTCCGCGCCCGGAGCCTGCAGCGCCGCCTCGCTGCCCCCGCGGGAGGAAGGCCCGCGCCCCCCCCCCCACCGCCCGCGGCAGCGCCCACTCCCCAGTACTCGCGGACCTCGCGTGGGCGCGGCCTCTCCCGGCCGCCCCTTTCCTCGAAGACAGCTTTGCCCTCCTCTGTTCCGTGGACTCGCCTGGGGTCTGGCCAGCGCTTGCGTGTTCCAGGTTGCAATCCCCTGCTGTGCCCAGATAAACCCACTTTCGCCGGTAAAATAACTGTCAACTTTATTTTTAAGGTTAACGTGGGAGGAAGGTATCCCTGCTGCACCCCACACCGTGGCCTAAGGGCAGCAGGCCGCCTACAGAGCCCTGCCACCCGGGCGACAATCGCTGGGCAGTTTGTTCAAAGGGAGAGGCTGCCAAGGCCCATCCAGCTGCCCCGCGAACGCCAAAGCCTCTCCAAAACAAACAAAACAAAAAAGCCTCTCGCGTCCGTTACAGCCTCTGCGCATTGTCTGATTGCAAACAAGGTATAAGAGCCAACTAAATGCTTCCTCAGCATCCATTACACCCGCAGCGATCTCTCCCACAGGAACTCTCAGGTGCTGCTAACAAACAACAAAGACTTTCCCACCTGTTTGTCTTCATGGATGCGTCTTCTTCCTGCATGAGGCGTTTCCCTCCAGGAGGAATCGTGCGGTGTGCCTGAAGCCAACTCACACTGAGAGCCTGACACATCTATTCAATTCACATGTGTTCTCCATGGTGTGAACGACCTATTATTGTCTAGTTAAGTATTGAGCTCTCACTGAAGGATTTCCCACATTCGCTACATTCATTTCCAGAACGTGTTGTGTGCCGCAGAATCCAGTGGGACATCTGAGCAAAGCCTCTCCCACACGTGGTACACACATAAGCTTTCTCTCCAGCGTATTTTTTGATGATTGACCAGGTAGGATGTTTGACCAAAGCCTATTCCACACCTGTCACACTTACAGGGCTTCCCTTCAGAATGTATACTTTGATGGTGAATCAAGTGTGGTGGTTGACTGAAGCTTTTCCCACACTCTACATTCAAAAATGTCCTCTCTTGAATGAATTTGCTGATGTTTAATGCTATTTATTCTCTGATTAACAGCATTCCCGCATTCATTATACTTACAGGGTTTCTCTCCGGTAACATTTTAAGACAGTTCAAATTCTCACTAAAGGCCTTGCCGAATTTGGTACAGCCACAGGGGTTATTTTTCCACTGTGAATTCTCTGTTGTTTAACAGGCTTTGATGTCTCTCTAAAGCCTTTGCCACATTAACTACAGTTTCTCTCCACTGAATTTTCTGATGTATGAGGATTGAGTCTTGATTAATTTTCCCCCATACTTCATACATCTGTTGGGCTTCTTCCTAGTATGAACTTTCTGATGCAGAATAAGTTGTACTTGCTGAAAGACTTCCCACCCAGATACATCCACTGAACTTTGACCCACTGAGAGCTGTTTGGTGTGCATCCTGGCTTGAATCACATGGAAAGCCTCTGCTATGTTGACCAGCCCTCTCTCCTGTTATGTCCCTCTGAGGTGCAACGGGTTTGTGCCTGGAGTCAAACTTTTCCCCAAATTTGCTACATTACTGGTATTTCCCTGGCCTATTAGTTTTGAACACTTGACCAGAACCTCTCTTCTGGGAAAAGAGCTTCCTCCTGGCATTTACTGTGATTTTTTTCCCCACAGGGGTTCTGCACTTGTCTCAGCCCCACAAGCTTGTTGAAACTCAAACACCTCTGGATTGACCATTAGGAAAATGTTGTGAATTATTCCTTTTAATTCTTCTTCAGAAGATTTCTCATTTTTTAAAAAAAGATTTTATTGATTCATGAGAGATACAGAGAAAGAGGCAGAGACACAGGCAGAGGGAGAAGCAGGCCCCATGCAGGGAGCCCAACGCGGGTCTCGATCCCAGGTCTCCAGGATCACACCCTGGGTCGAAAGAAGGCGCCAAACCGCTGAGCCACCTGGGCGTCCCAAGATTTCTACTTTGGAGTTGACTGTGCTTTGTCTTGACCTAAGAATCTGAAACAGAAGGAAAAGTTAGTGCTTCCTTGTGAAGGGAGAAAGAAAGTAGTTATGCTCATGATTAAGCCAAATCATATTTTCATGCATCTTGTACATCAGCCTGATCAGAGCTTTATCCCTTCTGTTAAAACTTTATCCCATTTTATCTTGAATCACAGTTAGTTGTTTGTGTCCATCACTCTAGCTGGGCCTGAGATTCTGAGGGCAGGTGCCTTCTCATGCTGGTCTCCATAGCATCTCTGTGACACTGTGCACAAAGCAGGTGCCAACTACCAAAGTCGTGCATGAATGCATTTCAACAGGTGCTTGCCAGGCTCTGCTCTGGTGCTGGGATGGTGATGAGGGACGACCCTGCCCCTGGAGCTGACATTCCAATGAGGAGAGTGACAATAAACAAATAAACATATGGCAGCAGATCAGGTAAGGACAGAGAATTCCTCTGAAAACTGGAACGTGGGACACCCGGGTGGCTCAGCGGTTGAGCGTCTGCCTTTGGCCCAGGGCGTGATCCCGGGGTGCTGGGATCAAGTCCCTCATTGGGCTCCCCGCAGGGAGCCTGCTTCTCCCTCTGCCTGGGTCTCTGCCTCTGTGTGTCTCTCATGAATAAATAAAATCTTAAAAAAAAATCTGGAATGTTCTCCTAAACCAAAACACAAATGCCACAAAGACAAAGACTTGGCTTCGCTAGCTCTTAACCTCAGCTCCTAAAAGAATGCCTGCACACAGGTGGCACACAAAAAGAATTTGTTGCATGAATGAGTGAAAGGATGGGAGGCATGTTTCAAGTGTAAACACAATGCAAAGTTCTGCTTATATAACTAAGCCTTGAAAAACACGGGTTGGGGCACCAACATGCTGTGCAGCTGGAAACACACAGGTAACTTTAACTCCTTAAAAACTCCACTACTAATGGCTCCTGTGGACTGGAAGCCTGATCTATAACATAATCAACACATATTTTGTATGTTTTATTATTATAATATTCCGTATTTTTACAATAAAGTAAGCTAGAGAAAATATCATTAAGAAAATCATAAGGTGGGGGATCCCTGGGTGGCGCAGCGGTTTGGCGCCTGCCTTTGGCTCAGGGCGCAATCCTGGAGACCCGGGATCGAATCCCATATCGGGCTCCCGGTGCATGGAGCCTGCTTCTCCCTCTGCCTGTGTCTCTGTCTCTCTCTCTCTCTCTGTGTGTGTAAATATCATAAATAAATAAATTAATTAAAAAAAAAAAAAAAAAAAAAAAAGAAAATCATAAGGTGGGCAGCCCGGGTGGCTCAGCGGTATAGCGCCGCCTTCAGCCCAGGGCCTGATCCTGGAGACCCGGGATCGAGTCCCATGTTGGGCTCCCGGCATGGAGCCTGCATCTCCCTCTGCCTGTGTCTCTCATGAATAGATAAATAAAATATTTAAAAAAAAAGAGAGAAAATCATAAGATTAAACTATTGGGACAACACTAAAATAAAAATCTTTGCCCAGTGAAGGAAATCATCAGCAAAACAAAAAGTCAACCTATTGAATGGAAGAAGATATTACAAATGCTATATCTGGCAAGGGTTTACTATAAAAAATATATTTAAAAAATTTACACAGGGGCAGTCGCAGTGGCTCAGTGGTTTGGTGCCGCTTGCAGCCCGGGGTGTGATCCTAGAGACCCGGGATCAAGTCCCACATCAGGCTCCCTGTGTGAAGCCTGCCTCTCTCTCTCTGTGTTTCTCATAAATAAATAGATAAAATCCTTTTTTTAAAAAAAATGGGCTAGAGGACCTGAATAGACAATTTTCCAAAGAAGACATGCAGATAGCCAATAGACACATGAAAAAATGCTTAACATCACTCATCACCAGGGGAATGCAAATCAAAATGACAATGAAATACCACCTTACACTTGTCAGGATGGCTAAAATTAAAAACACAAGAAAAAACACTGTAAGTGTTGGCAAGAATGTGGAAAAAAAGGAACTTTTGTGAGCTGTTGGCAGGGATGTAAATTGGTGCTGCCACTGTGGAAAACAGTTCCTCAAAAAATTAAAAATAGAATTCCCACATGATCCAGTAATTTCACTACTGGATATTTATTCAATAAAAACAGAAGCACTAATTTGAAAAGATAGATTTTCCCCCTGTGTTTATTAGCATTATTTATAATAGCCAAGATAATGGAAGCAATCCAAATTCCCATCAACAGATAAGTGGATAAAGAAGATGTGGTATATGTACACAATGGAATATTACTTAACCACCAAAAAGAAAGATGTTGCCATTTGCAACAACATGGATGGACCTAGAGGATATAATTCTAAGTGGAATGTCAGAGAGAGACAAATACTGTATAATTTCACTCATAAGTGGAGTTTAAGAAACAAAACAAATGAGCAAACAAAGTAAAATAAGACAAAAAACAGACTCCAGAATACAGGTAACAAACTGATGGGTGCGAGAAGGGAGGTGGATGGGAGATGGATGAAATAGATAAGGGGATTAAAAGTACATTATGATGAGCACTGAGTAATGTATAGGATTTTCAGATTACTATATTGTACACCTGAAAATAATACCACACTGTATTTTAAAAAACCCCAAAATCATAAGAGAAAATAAATTTGTTACTGTACTGTATTGATAATGCATTTAGATTGTCCAGTAGCAAGATGAATTGTCTGTACCTACAGCAATATTGTCTTATATGATAGACACTGTACATATTATAGATATTACTAGCACTAGCTAGCAAACATGAAAAGATAATCTTCATTTCTCATATTTATTTCCAGGTTTAACAATCTATGCATTGATAATGATGAAGCAGTAATGTGACTGCTTTATGGGAGCCTAGTGGAACTGATACGATCGCCTCACAGGAGCCTAGCATATGCACTAGTAAATGATTTGTTATAAAATCATTATGGCCCGCAGCACTATAGTCCTACTTATACTACAGTATTGGAAACTTACCTTTGTAAAAACCCGCTTACCTGTGATGACAGGCTGATACACGTTTCCTCCAACTAGGGGATAGAGGGATGCACTGTACTGTACGTCTCTGTACATTTGTATACCATTCTTTTTAAAAAATATTTTATTTATTTATTCATGACAGAAACAGAGAGAGAGAGAGAGAGAGAGAGAGAGAGAGACAGAGACACAGGCAGAGGGAGAAGCAGGCTCCATGCAGGAAGCCGGACATGGGACTTCCAGGGACTTTCCAGATCCCGGGTCTCCAGGATCAGGCCGTGGGCTGAAGGCAGCACTAAACCGCTTGAGCCACCTGAGCTGCCCTGTATACCATTCTTTGAAAACATTAGTACAAAACAGAAAACTGACATGTTAATTTTATATTAAATGTCAGTCATTTTATGCCTCTGTAAGGACTATCTACGAGCTTGCCCATGATGTTCCACTTTTTTTTTTAAGATTTTATTTATTTATTCATGAGACACACACACACACACACACATACACACACACAGAGGCAGAGACACAGGCAGAGGGAGAAGTAGGCTCCCTGTCGGGAGCCCAATGCAGGACTCGAGCCCAGGACTCTGGGATCACAACCTGAGCTGAAGGCAGATGCTCAACCGCTGAGCCACCCAGGGATCCCAAAGCCAAACAAACCTCTTTCTAAAATTGTCAAACCATCCTTTGCTGGTATTAAATCATCCAGCTTTAGATCTTTTTACATTAAATTGTCATAGAGTGATGTGGCTTTTTCTCAAATTGTATCAGAGCCTATAGGTATGCCATATAGCAGTCCTGCACCCACATAAAAGCTGCATTTTCAGTATGAGATAAAAAGGTATTTCACAAAATTTGCAAGATATTCATTCTTCCTGGCATAGTTGCAGCAACAGCTCCATGATTTCCTTCTCTCTTTCTCCCTTTTTTAGTGAGCTCTATGTCCAAAGCAGGGCTTGAACACACAACCCTGAGATCAAGAGTCACATGCTATACAGACTGGGCCAGCCAGGTGCTGCTCCCCTTTTTTCTTTTTATAGTGGTCCTCATGCTGGATTTATCTTGAGATGGGGGGCAACAGCAGCTGCAGACCTCAATCTACAGTACATATCAAACAATTCAACTTTTTTTTGTAACATCATGATTTTTTTCCTGCTTCTTGGAAGCACAATTGGCATCATTAGTGGCATTCGTATGGGTCTCCTAGTGTTATTGGAGGTTTATGGTGTTGCACTAAATACAATGAAAAATACACAAGAACCACAAGAGATCATCTTTACTGTGTAGTTTACTGGAGGGACGAAGCGCTGATGTAGAGTGATTGATGTCAGATGGTGTTTTCAGTGGATCCCCGGGACACTTGGGCTCACCACAAAGCAACAGGAGGTGGCCGATATCTATCACAGTAGTACAGTATGTACTGTTAAAAAACAAAATTCGACCAAGTAAATTTGAAGATCTAAACGGCTTTATTAAGTGATTCGTGAATCAAGTATGTAGCAAGTAGAGTGGAACTCTAAAGTGCTACAGGAAGAGAAAAGTTTTTGAAAGCAGAGCAGGGAAGTAAGGCATAAATGGAAAAAAAGGATTATTTTAGGGTTAGGTCACCTTCATTTGGGGACAAAAAGTTCTTAGTATGTGGATTATCGCATCTTCTTGGAGGATGGAAAGACTCATGTGACAGATCACCTTATTGGTGCTGACCAGAAAATTTCGGAGACTATATTTCTGGGGCAGGATGACAAGAAGGTTAGGTAGGAAGCCTAGTTTTTTTTTTTTTTTTTTTTTAAGATTTATTTATTTATTCATGAGACACACACACACACACACACACACACAGGCAGACACAGGCAGAGGGAGAAGCGGGCTCCACGCAGGGAGCCTGCCGCGGGACCCAATCCCAGGTCACGCTCTGAGCCAAAGGCAGACGCCCAACCGCTGAGCCACGCAGGCATCCCAAATTTTTAAAGATTTTATTTTATTTATTTTTTTTTTAGATTTTTTTTTTTAGATTTTATTTTTTTAATGAGTTTTTTTTTTCAATTTTTTATTTAGTTATGATAGTCACAGAGAGAGAGAGAGGCAGAGACACAGGCAGAGGGAGAAGCAGGCTCCATGCACCAGAAGCCCGACGTGGGACTCGATCCCGGGTCTCCAGGATCGCGCCCTGGGCCAAAGGCAGGCGCCAAACCGCTGCGCCACCCAGGGATCCCCTTAAAGATTTTATTTATTCATGAGAGACACACACACAGAGAGAGGCAGAGACACAGGCAGAGGGAGAAGCAGGCTCCATGCAGGGAGCCCGACATGGGACTCGATCCCCCGGTCTCCAGGATCACGCTCTGGGCCGAAGGCGGCCCTAAACCGCTGAGCCACCCGGGCTGCCCCAGGAGTCCCAAATTCTAACCTTTTATAATAAGTTTGTGTATATTTTATGGTAGCAAATGATAAAATAGACTAGTACTTATATATTTTATACATTCCTCACATACCTAACATTTTTTATATTTCTAGACTACACAGTTTGTACGTTTTTTCAAATTGTCACAAATCTCCAAAAATTTTTTCTAACACACTTTTGAAAAAACAATCCCCCTATAAGTGGACGCACACGGTTGGAGCCGTGTTGTTTAGGGATGAACTGTGAAACTGCATAGAGGAGACCCTGTTTCCGACGCGCCGGGAGGCCGGCAGGGGGAGCTCAGCCCCCTCCAGCCTGAGGAGACCAAGGGAAGGGAGTGCGCCTAGCCGCCGCAGATGCCACTTTCTCCCCCTTTCCCCTGTACCAGAACTTTGCTCTCCTGTGCTCTGCGGCTCATCTACCTGCAGTTTTGCTTTTGTTTGCTTATCCTAAATTACAATTTTCCGCTATTACTAAATAAACCCATTTTTGCTGGCAAAATAACTGGCAGTTCTAAAGTTAAGAATATTGTTAATTATTTGTAGTCTCTTCTTTAACAGAATGTAATCTCCTTTTTGCCTTGGTAATGATTTGCACTTCAGTTGCTTCATCTGATGGTAAATTTCCATCTTAGCTTTTTTTTTTTTTCCATCTTGGTTTTATTTTGGATCATTTCCTCCTTTAACATATTTTTCCATACTTTCACCTATGTTTGGCAGGCGGTGGGGAAGGAAATAAACTAGTAGGTCTACGTCTTTTTCCAAGGAAACTTTCATTCACCCTGTCACTTCCTAGCTCCTACTTACCTGCAATGGTGAAGGGCAGAGGATTATGGAGCAGTCTTTGGCCACCTCCTAGAAGCCCCAAACTAGGTGTGTGCACCTTTCTAGTATATGTGGCCATGTGACAGCTGCTGTCCTTAGCCAAAATACTGGCCTCTGTGTTACAAGCAGATAATACACAGAGTCACATCCTCTGAGCCCCAAACTTGCAGTTCCAATGCTCCCATCAACAAAAGCAACTCAGACTTAACATGTTGGACCATCCTGCCAGGACAACCAGATGACAGCACGGAAAGAGTACACTGGAGTCAGCAACACGTGACTAAACAGGGATGTGTTCCATGGAATTAGAGGATGAGAAGAGAAGGAGATAAAAGGTGCAAGCAAGCCTCTTGAGCAACAGAGTCACCAGAGAGCCCGAGGGGGATGTGGAGTTAAAGGTTTTTTTTTTTTTTTTTTTTTTTAAAGATTTTATTCATTTAGGGGATCCCTGGGTGGCTCAGCGGTTTCGCGCCTGCCTTTGGCCCAGGGCGCGATCCTGGAGTCCCAGGATCGAGTCCCGCGTCGGGTTCCTGGCATGGAGCCTGCTTCTCCCTCTCCTCTGCCTGTGTCTCTGCCTCTCTCTCTCTCTATGTCTATCATAAATAAATAAATATAAGTTTTTTAAAAAAGATTTTATTCATTTATTCATGTGAGAGAGAGAGAGAGAGAGAGAGAGGCAGAGACTCAGGCAGAGGGAGAAGCAGGCTCCATGCAGGGAGCCCTACGTGGGACTCGACCCCAGGTCTCAAGGATCATGCCCTGGGCCCAAGACGGCGCTAACCGCTGGGCAACCCGGCTGCCCTAAAGGTTTTTTTTTTTTTTTTAGTAATGAAAAATATCAGAGTGAATTTGTATGCTCGTGGAAATATTAGAGAAAGGTCTTTAGGGGAGGAGATAGCTAAGCAACATCTTTGAGAATTCAAGAGGGAGCCGAGGGAAGGGCCCGCCTCAGGCAGCAGCAGGGAAACGATGCCTGTTTTCCGGAGGGAAGGTGAAGGTCAGGGGAGAGGTGGGTGGCTCTTTGGGTTTGGTGGTAAGAAGAGTTTTGGTCTCATGTCTGAGGCTCAACGAGAGAGGCCAGAGCCGTTCTGATGGTCACTTGGAGGATGAGGGACTTACCCCACCTGAGAAAATCACCAAATTGCAAGGAAGTGTGATGCACTCATCTTAAGTTTAAAGTGAAGCCAGCCACCCTGGTTGTGTGATGTTTCCGCAGTGGTCATGTTGGGGAATGGCTGGGTCCACGCACGCCGGGGGTCCTCAGGGGCCTACGACGAGAAAGAGCTAGAGACCAGTCCTCCACGTGGGGATGGGAGGTGTGGGGGCGCTCCTAGCAGTGGGGCACAGCACTGAGCAGGCCGGGGAGGGGCGCTGAGCTGCAAGAAGGGGGGGCTGGGCTGCAGGCCGGGGGTCGGGGGCAGGAGTGGGGCGGGTGCAGCCGCGGGCGAGCTCTGGAGCCGAAGCAAACGCGACTTTTGGCCACGGATACAGGTGATGGCGGTTCCGGCGTGAAGCCCCGCGGGAGGCGCGGACGCTGGAGCGCGCCCCGGGACGGGCGAGGTGGCCACATGCCAGGGGCCGCCCACCTGCGCAAGGGCGTGCGACGGTACGTCCCGAGCCCGGGAAGGGGCGACGGGGGTTGGGCGCGTCCGCACCGCCGCGGGAGGGGAAGCTCCCCGCGCCCACGTCCCAGGCGCTCGCCGCCCTCCGCACCGACGGGAGGGTCTGCGCGGCGAGCACGCAGGGAGGGTGGGTCCGGGTCCGCCCCCCAACGGGCTTCCGGCCCCGCGCGCGGCCCCGCGTCCACCTGCGGGTAGACCCCGCCCCCTCCCGGCAGGCCGCGCGCCCCCTCCCGGCCCCGCCCCCCGCTCCCGGGCCCGCTCCCGCCACCACTCCCGGCAGGCCGCGTGCCCCCCGCCCCCGGCCCGGCTCGCGGCAGGCCGCGCGCCCCTCCCCCGCTCCCGGCCCCGCCCCCCGGTCCCCCTCCCGGCAGGCAGCGCGCCTCCCGCCCTTCCCGGCATGCCGCGCGCCGGCGCCGGCGCACTCGGGCCGAGTGCGCCCCCTGGCGGCGGGAGCGGGGGCCGCGGGGGCGGGGCCGGAGGCGGGGGGTTGCGCTGGTGACGGGAGGACGCGCGGCGGCGGCGCCCTGGGCTGGCGGCGGCAGCGGCGGCAGCGGCGGCGGCGCAGGAGGCGGACCGCGCGGGCAGCTGCTGCAGCGGCGGCGGCGGCGGGAGAGCCGCGGAGAGCCGGGGCGCGGCGCGCGGGCCGGGATGCAGGGCGGCGGCGAACAGCCGGCGGGTGAGAGCGCGGGCGGTGGGCGGCGCGGCCGGGAAGATGGCGGAGAGGCCGGCGCTGCGGCCCCCGCCCGGCCTCGGGGAGGTCCCCGGCCGGGCCTCGCGGAGAGCCCGGCCCGCGGCGACGGCGGGGCGGCGGGCGCGTGGGTGTGCCGGGCGGGCGGGGCGGGCGGGCGCACCTGGCCGGGGCGCGGGCCGCTTTGTCCGGGGGCGCGGGGCGGCGGCCGAGCGGGGACGCCGCGCGTCTCGGGGGTCGGGGCGTCTTTTATCTTAAAACGCGGAGGCCGCGGTGCCGGAGCCGCACGTCACACGCCCGCAGCCGCCGCCGCTGCGCAACCTTCCGCAGAAATGCGGCGCCCTCCGCTGCCGCCGGCTGCGCGGGCTGCACCCGACCTGCGGTGACCTCCGCAGAAGCCTGCCGCAGGGTTCGGCGCCCCGGGGCGCGGACAATGGGCGCTCGTGTCCGAGGCCAACGGAGGGACTCGGCCGCACGGCCCGCCCCGCCCGGTACCAGCAGGTGGCTCCCGGCCGCGGCTGCCCTTGCGCAAGGAGCCAGGTGTGCGCCTCGCCCGGGGAGGGGAACGAGCCGCGACCGGAGGCGTGACTGCAAAGTAGACTCATCCCGCGAAACGTCCTGGCGCAGGCCCGGTGGCCCGTCGCCCTCGCCCGCACCTCGCCCCGCGGGAGGGCTCGCGGGAGGCCGGGGATCGGGGTGCAGAGAAGCGGGCTCCGGGGCCGGGCTCTCCTGGCTTTGTACTCCGTGCCTCTGGTTTCCCATCTGAAAAATGGGAACAGCAGTAACACTGGGCTCCCGGGTTGGTTGTGAGGACGCAGCCGCCGTGTGGCGCGGGCCGCACCTGTCGGGGTCAGCGCCGCGGACACCGGGTTCCCAGGGCCCCTCTGCTGGGCTCCTGGCTCTTCAGTGGCTCCTAGTGTCACCGTCTTGGTTTTACATTCGCTTGAAGTCTTTGGCTCTATTTTCTTACACAAGCCAGCTGTGGTCGTATTTGCAAAAACAGAGTCATTATAAAGGGAAATGCAGAACACATCTATGTACTTAGACATGTTATGTGCCAATTACTATAGGTTTGTGATGCAGAAGTTGTCACATCAGATGCTTTTAGAAGAAGAGGGATCTCTGGGTGGCGCAGCGGTTTAGCGCCTGCCTTTGGCCCAGGGCGCGATCCTGGAGACCCGGGATCGAATCCCACGTCGGGCTCCCGGTGCATGGAGCCTGCTTCTCCCTCTGCCTGTGTCTCTGCCTCTCTCTCTCTGTGTGTGTGACTATCATAAATAAATAAAAATAAAAAAAAAGAAGAAGAAACCTGCCAAGGAGCCACTCTGGAATGTTGCGGTACTTACTGTCCTTGGGGCAGGTGCGGATCTGTCTCATTTCTATACACAGGAATGAGATTTAGAGCAGTTCTTGGGTAATTCTCCGAATTAAACCGCTGAAGCTACTGCTGTTTTACTGAACAGTGCTATCCTTGAGATAAAAAAAAAAAGATAACTTATTAACAAACTTAAATGGCAGTGAGGACATAAGCAACAGAGTGAGAACTTGGAATACCAGTTCTGTAACATGGTGTCTTGCTAAGCTGTTGGAAAAAATAAAATTGAACCTGCTTCAGAGCAAAGGAGGAAAAGTCATTCCCAAGATGATTCTCTTTCTCAGATCTAGGGAGAGTATCTTAGATTTACTCTCAATGACCATACCTCACCTCCTTTAAACCTATGACACTAAGACTTGGTGTGTGTGTGTGGGGGGGGGGTCCTTCCACTTTAGAGTCTTTGGGCACAAATGGGGTTTATTTTTTTTAATTTTTAAAAAAGATTTTATTTTTTTTTATTCATGAGACACACAGAGAGAGACAGAGACCCAGGCAGAGGGAGAAGCAGGCTCTTCACAGGGAGCCTGATGAGGGACTTGATCCCAGGACCACACCCTGAGCTGAAGGCAGATGCTTAACCACTGCACCACCCAGGTGCCCCATTAATGGGGTTTAATGTTCAGAACATATAGTGACAAAGCAGCTTATGTGAGCAAAATTTAAAATATCTAAAGATAGATTTTAAAATGTCTATCCTAGCCTTTTCTCCTGCATGCGCGCTGGGATGGGCTGTCCCTCACAAAGGAAAAAAAGGGCCTGCTTCGTTCTCTGTCTGGGTGGTCTCACCCAGGGCAACGGTGCCAGCCAGACTCTGCCCTCAGTCTCAGACTTTGCAGCCAGCCTCTGGATGCAAAAGCCCTTTAGGCTTTTAAGACCCTGCCTCCTCCTTCACCTCTGGCCTCAGTCCTTTGGTGCTTTGGGACCATCATCTGGTTGATCTCTACTCTGAAGAGCTTGGTGTCCTAGGTCCTCCCCCAACTACCACATTTCTTTGCTGCAGGCCCTCATCATTGTACCTCCTAAGTAGTCAGCAAATTTATCCTTCCTCAGATTTATCGTCCAGGGCCTGTGCCTGTGATGGCTGTGCCTTCTGGGTGGGCTCCCTCTCTTCTGTTTTCCCCGTAACTGCTCAGGTGACCTGCTCAGGTGATGTGTTGAGAGCAGTGGTTCCCACCCAGAGGCCGTTCATCTGGAGAAGTGTTTGATTGTTCCACCTTGGGGCGGGTGCTACTGGCTCTAAATGCGTGGAGGCTGGGGTGCTGCTCAGCGTCCTACGGTGCACAGGACAGGTAGGCCAGCGTGCTCTCTGAAGAGCAGGCCCAGAGGGTGTCCAGCTGGTTGCTCCTCTGCCCCGCACGCCTGCCTGGCTCCACATGCCTTTTAGACTGCTCTTCTCTGTGTGCCCCTGACTCACACTCTGCTCTCCAGTGACAGCAGCCGGAGCTGCAAAGGCCAGGCTCTGCTCCGCTCCCCTCAAAACAAGCAAAGCTTGAGTGGCCTCTTCACCTCCTTTGGCCCTCAAGGGGGCTTGCCCCAGGACGAGCCTGTCTGATGCCTTCCTTCACTCAGAACAACTTCTTCTGCATCCCGTGGTGTGTGAGCCGCACCTTTGGTCACTGCACAAATCAGAGTTGTCTCCCCTCTGCACTGGGAGGTCTTGGAGGGCAAAAGAAACCTTTGTATTCTCAGTGTCTCTTTGCAACATTTTCTTAGGGCATTGACCTCAGGAAAGATGGCGGATTTGGGCAGGTTTCACCCCAGAGGAGGATTAACACAGCAGTGGGAGCAGCTCCCTTTTGTTTCCTCCATTTGGGCTGCTTAGAATGACCCAGAACCTCTTGTCTTCTTGCTTTCTTAAGTATAATTTTTTAATTCTCATAGATTCTATTTATTTTTGCTTCCTGAAAGGTTAAGACAAGTTCTCTTAGGATAGATAATATATTCATGTTCACAGTGGAAAATAGCGCACAATGTCTCTTCTGTTCTGGACCCAGGAGCCTGGTCCCCTGGAGGCACCTACTGTATCTCCTTCTAGAGATACTTTGTACCTATAAGAGCAAATGTTTTTTTTCCTACTCTTTTCCAAAAAGTTCCTGAACCTTGCCATTTTTAACTAAATATGTTTGGGAAGTCATCCCATATCAGTACATTTCCCAGTTCATTTTCTTATGTGGCTGCATTGTGTTTGGCTGCATGGAGGTGCTATGATTTATCTCAGTAGCCCCTAATGCTGAATACCACATTTTGTGCAGTCACAAGTAAGTTTGCAGATACAGAGCTTGGTAATGTGGGAATATCCCTGTAGGACCCATCCCTAGAAATAGCACTTCTTTCCTTAATCATTATTTATTCCATTAGATCAAGTTTTGCTCTTATATCTTCATGTCTTTATCTTTGTGCTTCCTGTGGTCATTTATTTTTCCCAGTTATCTAGATCTTAAACAATATGGTATGATCAGATTAAATGAGTTTCTCAGTTGGAAATTGGCTCACTTTTTGTGTGTTCTTATAGATAAGAGTAACTAGGAGAACACTATCGCACAAATACTTGTACACAGATGTTCACAGCAGCAGCTATTCATAATAGCCAAAAATTGGAAAAAACCCAAACGTCCAACACATGAATGGATAAACAAAATGTGGTCTGTCCATGGAATGGAATATTATTTGGCAATAAAAAAATGGGGTATTGATTCATGCTACGATATGGATGGATCTCAAAACATTGTGCTGAGCGAAAGAAGCCAGACACAAGAATCCACATATTGTATGATTTCATTTGCGTGAAATGTCCAGAGTAGGCAAATCCATAGATAGAAAGTAGATAAGTGGTTGTCAGAGCCTGGGGGGTTACAGCTAAGAGATTTGGGGTTATTTGGGGGATAATGAAAGTATCCTGTAATTGCCTGTGGTGAAGGCTGTGTGTTGTCCACCTTAAATGGGTGAATTGTACGGTATGTGAATTATACCTCAATAAAGCTGTTAAGAACAAGAGGGACTGGGATTTTTCAGAAGGGAGCATTCCAGGGTGGGAGCCCACAGGGAGTCTTGGTGTTGACACAGTCCCGGGGTTGTGAGGAGAGGCCCACTGGGCAGCTTGGGGAGTAAG